AAAAAAAAAAAAAAAAAGGCAACTAGGCTGGTGCTGGGGACACTGAAGAGGGACAATCAAGTCCTGGAAGAAAGCACTTCTCCCTGCAGAGGCCTGGACGCTCCCACCTTTGGCTTGCCAATCTGCTCTGTCCAATATAGCAGCTTCTGGCCACATGTAGCTATCTAACTTTCAACACAATTAAAACTTTAGTTTTGGCCAGGCGCAGTGGCTCATGACTGTAATCCCAGCACTTTGGGAGGCTGAGACAGGTAGATCACTTGAGGCCAGGAGTCCGAGACCAGCCTGACCAACATGATGAAACCCCATCTCTACTAACAATACAACAACTAGCTGGGCATGGTGGTGCGCACCTGTAACCCCAGCTACTTGGGAGGCTGAGATTGCAGTGAGCTGAGATTGTGTCACTGCACTTCAGCCTGGGCAACAGAGCAAGACTCCATCTCGAAAAAAATAAAAAAACAAGCAAACAAACAAACAAAACAACTTAAGTTCTGCAGTTGCATCAGCCACCTTTCAAGCGCTTAGCAGCCATGTGGAGCCGGTGGCCGCCATGCTGGATAGGCGGTGCAGACTCAGCGCATCTCCATCACTGTGGAAAGTGCAATGGGCACTTTCCAAGGCGGTGGGCTAGCGCCTTTTCTCTGAGGCCGAGAGCAACCAGAGGCACAGGAGAGGTTCTCGAAGGGCCCGTGGGGAGAGGCTGCTGAGGCATGAGGGGCTGGAGATAGTGGAATTCACTGGGAGAGGGCAGCAGCGGTCACAGGAAGTTGAGGTGAAACCAAACAGTATAGCTGCTGAGAGGACAGGTTCACTCCCCAACTGTGTGACCTTAAGAAAATTACTTAACCTCTCTGTGCCTCCATCTCCTCATCTGGAAAATGGAGCCATGATAGAATCCACCCCTCACTCTTGCTGTAAGAATTAAGTGGGTTGATATTTATAAAGTGCTTAGGACAGGGCCTGCCCCAGAGTAAGTGCCACGTAAGTGTCTGTGGGGTGAAATCACACGGGCTAAGCAGTTAGGTCACTACCTAGCACGTTGTCAGTTGGCAGTCAACAAATGCTCCAGGAACACAGGCCCTTACCAGAGAAAGGCTCCAGGTTGAGGTTGAGCAGGTGCTTGGTGCCACACTCGGGCCCCAAGATCCCATTGTAGCTGACGGTGCGGGCACAGAGCAGGAGGCGGCAGACGTACTCCTCGGCGGTGTTGTTGGTGATGTGGGCAAAGACGTCAAAGTCACTGCCCATGTTCATGCTCTGGCCCACACGGATCCGCATGGCCATCCCTGTCTCCTCCTTCTCGGCCAGTTTGTTCAGGTGGTTGGCCCTTGTGAAGGCCTCCCTCTCCTCTGAGGACCCTGTAGGGGTTGGGAAGAGAGCCTCAGTCACAGCGTGAATAGATCATAGGAAGGGGGCTGGGACAGGGTGAGCTGGCTTCGCAGAGCCCTGATGACTCAGGGCAGCCCTGAAGGAACCCCTTCTTTACATGTCTGAGCCAGGAGGAGGACACAGTATTTCATTTATTTTCCACTAGTGAACTCTTACACATCCCTCAAGACCCAGCCCCAAATGACACCTCCTCCAGGAAGCCCTCTCTGACCACTCCTTCCCCTGTGTTGTTTTCTGTTTCAAACTTACCCTCTTGAGCTGCTCGAGGGCTAAGGCTGTGTTTTACTTATTCTTATGTCATATCCAGTGCCTACAACAGTGCTTGGTGCATGCTAGGCATGAATACAGTGCAATCTTTCTTACCTTCAAGCATTTGCACAGGGATTACTTCTACCTGAAATCCTTTCCCTCCCTGTCTCTGATTGCTCCCTTCCTTATATTCCATTTATCTCTCTCCTATGCTCCTTTAATTTTTTTCTCCCAGTGCTGTTGGGTGCATCTCTATTTCTTCTATCAAACCACCAGCTCTAGACCTTTCAGGGGATGGGGAGAGCATCATTTCATTCCGTGTTATCCCTTTCAGCTAGAGTATGGCTACGTGCCCCTGGAAAGCCAGCGGGGGTCAGGCCCAGGCAAGAACGATGGTTTCTTAGTCCCCTCTGTGGGCCCTGCTGTGCTTAGTAGTTGCTTAGAAATTATATATTATATTGAATTGGCTGTTGGATGTGCTCGAATCCAATTTTTAAAAATAAACCAAGTCCTTTCCCCCGCAACTGATCGAGCATCAGTAGCAGAAAGATGCCTCATCCTCATGCCTCTGATTGAACTCGTGACATTATTTTTAAGTTTATCTTGGCCCGTTTCTCTTCCTATCCACCTTCATGTTCATTTTCCCATCTATATGTCAAATACTGCAAAAATAAACACTGCAAAATTTGAGGAACCTGTCCTCCGTGGCCCCTCTGGACTTTCAAGCCCCTCTAACACAAGTACATTGCAATTAAAACGTGTGGAATTGCTCATCTATGGTTACAGGTCCCACTGCTGAGAAATACTGATTTTTTTTTTTTTTTTTTTTTGAGGCGGAGTCTTGCTCTGTCGCCCAGGCTGGAGTGCAGTGGCCCGATCTCGGCTCACTGCAAGCCCCGCCTCCCGGGTTCACGTCATTCTCCTGCCTCAGCTT